GTTACCTACCTTTAGTGATAAATCTTAGTCTCTCCCATTATAAAAACTTAATCTTTTTCGCTCTTATTTTAATAAAACACGTGATTAATATATCAAGAATTTAATATCAATAAAAATGGTAACAATATGAAGAAGAAAATCTAGAAGACCAATTATTACTAAAAATTCTAGAAGAAATAGAACAACAAGTAATCTTAGATATTGAAGTAAATGAACATTATACTCAAATAAAAGATATTATATTATTATAAAAAAAATAAGAAAAAATATTTTAAATAAAAGTAACAAATATTCACATACAAATAATAAAGAAAATAATAAAAATTATTTATCTTGTATTAAAGATGAAGAATTATATTAACAAATGGAATTAATATTAGAAATATTATTTCAATCAATAAATATTAAAGAAACTGATTTTATTGACAAATAATAACAACAAATAAATAAATTATTAGCTGAATATCAAGATTTATTTAATACTGAAATATCTGGAAAGACTGATATAATTTAACATGAAATCAATTTTGAAACTATCAAATTAATAGCATTAAAATTATACTATCAAAGATTACCATTAGAAAAAGAGTTCATTCAAGATGAAATTAATAAAATGCTTAGACAAAGAATTATCAAATCTTTTAACAGTTCTTGGACTATACCAGTTATAGTAGTAAAGAAAAAAGATAAAAAATTTAGATTTTGTGTAAACTATCAACAATTAAACAAAGTTATTATCAAAGATTAATTTCTATTATCAAGAATTAATAGCTTATTAGATATACTTGAAAAAGTTAAATACTTTTCAATATTAAATTTAATCTCTAAATATTGGCAAGTTGAAATTAAATCAGAAGATTAATTAAAAATAGCTTTTATCATTATTGAAGACTTATATAAGTTCAATATTATGTCATTTGAACTTATAAATGCACCAATAATTTTTTATAGTCATATATTTAGATAATACAAATATATTTTCAATAATATTTAAAGATCACTTACTTCATTTGAAAATTATTTTTGATAAATTAAAACAAAGTGAATTAAAATTACAACCAATAAATATCATTTTGGAAAAACTTCTTTAGCATTTTTTAAATATATAATTAGTAAAGATAAATCAAAACAAATCCAGCAAAAATAATTATTGTTAAAAATTTTCCAAAATTATACAATTTAACTATATTAAGAGGTTTTCTTGATCTTATTTCTTATTATTAAAGATTTGTAAAAAATTTTGCACAAATAGCCAAACCACTACATTATTTAATGAAAAAAAATAACCATTTAGCTGAATTGAAGAATGTCAAAAAATATTTGAAAAACTCAAACAATACTTAATATTATCATCAATATTAATATATCTAGATTTCAATAAACTATTCTTATTATATACTGATACTTCTAACTTTGAACTTGGAGCAATATTATTACAAAAAGATAATAATAACAAAGAACATATAGTTGCTTATACCAGTTAAAGAACAAATTAATGTGTAATTAATTATTATGCAACTAAATTAGAATATCTAATAATAAATGAGCAGTAGAATATTTTAGATTATATCTTCAATTTAATATTCTATTTATTATAATTATTGATCATAGTGCTTTGAAAAGCTTATTTAATATTTCAAATTTATCTGATAGACTAGCAAGATGAATTATAACTTTATATGAATATATATACAATATAGAACATTATAAAGGATGCTTATATTCAAATATTAATCTACTTTTATGTCATTTTCAGAAAGAACTAATCTAAATCAATAATAACTCAATCAATTCAAAAACAAAAAATGCTAAAATATAACTTGACAACTAATTTTGAATAATTCATACCTGTTACAATGAACTTGATTGAATACTACCAACTCGTTAATTATTTGGATACATTATAATTACCAAAAAATTTATCAACAAGAGAACAAAAGAAATTAAAAAACAAAGCAATTCATTACCTTATTAAAAATAAAATAATTTATAGAAGAAATCAAAAAAATCTAGATACATCACTCAAAGTAATCAAATCTATAATAGTAAAAGAAATATTAGTTAATGAATATTTTATTGCAATAACTGGATATTTTGAAATAGAAGCAACTAATAATTGAATTTTTTAAAATTATTATTGATCTAAAATACATCAAGATATTGAAAATTATATCAAAATATGTGGAGATAAGTTAATAGAAACTAAGCAAATTAATTATGTAATACATATATAATTTGCTTGATTTCTGTTGACTCACCTCCATGTGATATTTGTCAATAAAAAAGCAAAATAAAAAAGAACAATCTATTATATCTAATTGAAACCAGACTACCATTTGAAAAGATTAAAATTGACTTAATTGGATCTCTACCACTTATCAAGAACAATAATAGATATATAGTAGTTATTATTGATTATGGAACCAAATGAACAGAAGCAAAAACAATACCAGATGCTGCTGCCACAACTATAGTATCATTTTTATATAAAGATATTATTTGTTAATATGATTTTCTAAAAGAAATATTTGTAAATAAAATAATTAGAACTTTATATCAAAATTATCAAATCAAATATCATCTTTCAGCACTATATTACTTACAAATAAATGAACTTGTAGTCAAATTTGTTCAATTACATTATAATAAATGAAATTTTTATTTACTATCAGTACTATTTGCATATAAAATAATGCAACAAAGCATAACAAAGTTTATACTATTTTATCTCACTTATGAAAGACAAGCTAAAACACTAATTAATTTCAAATTTTGGCCATCAGAAAATGAACAAGAAACAACAACCATACCATACCTAAATAGTGTATAATCTTATTTTTTGTAAACTTACTAACGCTAATTAAAATCATAAATAAACCACAAAAAACATCTTTACACCGTACCAAGATTGGTTGAATAACTGTTTATTTTTCCGAAAAGGGAAAGATTGCCACTAAAATGAATTATAAAAAGTGGTGATATTTATATATAGTTTTTCCGGGTTTAAGTAGTGCACAGATAAAAATACATGGTATTTCTACACATATCCAGAATCTCAAAGTCGATCATGAAGGGCATCAATAAATTTTACCAAGTCAACAAGTTTTCGCCATTAAGAAAAAATGTCCGATTGTGAAGAGCAAATTGAAACAACATTAGTGATAGTTGATATTATCGTTATTATATATAATCTTGTTATAGTATAATAAGATTTTAACAACATAATAAACCATTTATCTACCTGATTGTTCTCTTCTCGATGAAAAACAAATAATAAATGATACCGATACCGGTACGGAAAATTTCACTTCGAGAGTAAAGCCGATAATTTAAAAGATTCAAATAAAAATTACCAATAAGAACGAATAATCTCAGCCTCGTTTCAGAATATTTATCAATTACGACTTCTAGTTAGCTCGTTTACAAACGCAAAAACCAACCAGGTTTGACAATCCTTTCATGGTAATTTTAATTCAAGTTTCCAACGTTTTTCACGATTACTATACTAGAAATATCACGAAAAGTAGAATGTCTGACAAGGAGTGCGTAAAAATGGTGGACCTTTATTTATGGAGAATACTTCAATGAATGGTTAGAGAACACATTTAATAGAGCCAATATTCAAATAGGTTTGAAAACTTCGTTTTTTGGCATCAATATTATAAAGTATAAATTTCTTCAATAAAAATATCTGAAATATCGGATATTAAATATAATAATTTTTAAAACGGGGTAACATAATAAATCCGCGTTGTTTATTGTTCTATGGAATACATATAATAGCATAATTAGTATCCGGAAAAAGTTTATACATGTACTATTGCTATGAACCAACTTTAGATATTTATAGTCAATGTTTAGTTATTATGCACGTATCACATAGTCATGGATAAATGCAGTACCACAAAACTAAACACCAACCGTTATATCTTGAATTTGATATTTTTCTCTTGCTTTATATGTGTGTGTAATCTTGCATTAATAATATTAATAACATGTTGTTTTTGATAATATGCTATTGCGGTGACTGTACTCAGCAACAGTTTGTGAGCACGTTGACTGGACACTAATAATGCTATTTTTATATAACTGTCCGTTTATTGCCACAAATAAACCAAGTAATAAACTTTGAGAAACGAGTGAACGAACGAGAGAGTCAACGAGAGAAAGATAAATGATAGATAGCTAATAGTACTTAACTTTTACCTATCACGTCACATACTTTTTCCACAAAGAACAGCTGATATATATATAATAAATTCACCGGGAATGAACCTTTTTTCACGATCTTTTAGCCATCATTATAATATCATTGCTACTCTACTACCGTTATTGTTTTTGTGAAATAAAAAAGTAAAGCGGGTTTGTTTCGCTCTAGTTTTTCAAAGATTCACAATCCAACTCAGTCAATCTTTCGGCTGTAAAACTGCATTCATTCTTTAAACTTTTTTCCTCCTCCTTGTAACATTAATTTATCGTCGTTGATTTTATCCCCTCAACCATCCATTTCTCTTCAATTACACATCTTAATCTCGCCAAATGCCTCAATCAACACTGAATCGACAAGGAATCCTTTCCTTCTCCCCCTCCTCCTCCTCCTCCTCCTCGGGCAACACCCTATTACGATTACTGTTATTATTGTTGTTTACACTCATAGCTACTAGCACAGCTTTACCAACTTCCACATCAAGTGACAGTAATAATATTCCGCAACCTTTCGACACGACGCTCAATTACAACCTCACATCCTCGTGCCTTTCATTCTTTCAAGAATTTATAAAAAATCAAGAGTTTCAAAATTGTTATAGCTTCGGTTTCTTGCTACTGAATTCTAACAAGTTCGCCGTTCTTTCAAGAGATGTGTCTTTAGTGCCCCCATTACTAGATCAAATATGTAATGCACCAGATGGATCAGATAAATGTAATAAAGTTATGGAGCATTATGCTAGTCAAATTGTCTCGTCAAAAAACTGTCGAACTGATTTACAAGGCGAGAATCCAATCGCTACCCAGGCCTACGTGTCCTTCAACACTTATCAATTATATCAGACTGTGGGATGCTCGAAAAACAATTCAGGTTCTTATTGTTATGTCGAAGCACTCGATAAAAAACTTGGTCTTGGGATTTTTTATTTACCAAGTGGTAAGTGTATGAAACCACCATTTTTTTTATTGAGGGTATGCGTTAACCAACCATTTTCTCTTTTATAGGAACACAATTAACGACCTCAAAAGAACAACTTCCTTGCTCGGAATGCAACAAAAAAATCCTAAACACCTATTCAGAATACGCGGGTGATTCGGCGCTCCCACTCTCTCAAACATTCTCACCTGTTAGAACTTATTTTAACGATTTCTGCGGCTCGGATTTCGTGAATGAAGCGAGTGCTGTTCATAGTACTAGCGCAGTAGCTATCACCAGTGACGCGTCTTCGTTGTTCACACGTGGTATTATAATACGATCACGATATACTAATAAACTTATACAAATGTCAATAACTATACCGGGAATTAGTATGTTAACGACTATGATGACCTCTATTTTTCTGATTATTTGGTCTTTATCTCCATCTTGAGATTACGAAATGTAATTTTTCGTCCGTTGGTATCAAAAAGAAATAGACAAAGAAAGTTTAGAAATCTCATCTCAAACTTTCTGTTAACCAATCAATCAAGCTTTCTCTTAGGCTAAATTGTCATATTTCGTTTGTAATTCATTAAAGAGAGAGAGAGAGCATTTTAGATTTTGTAACCACATGTATTTTGTATAGGGTTATCTTTTGGTATATGTTATTTATTCACAAACACACTGTACACATTACTCTCACCATAGATTCATTCTTCTCCATATACATCTTCATATAATCTTTTGTAATATTTCCACACAACATCTCCAATCCGGCAATTCAATAATCAATCAATCGCTTTTTCAATTTTAAATCAAAAATTAAAAAAGTGCCACCACGCAATTAATAATTTCTTTGCATTCTATACTTGTGATTCCTGCTGTGAAAAATTGACCGTTATTTTCGCCCAACTTTATTTCGGTCACTTAATGTCAGACAAAGTGTTGTTTCTTTGCACGTTATACATGTATATACCTATTGTTAGGCTTGTATCATAAATTCGAGAACCATTATTAATGTTTATATTTTGTGAAAATTAAAATTAAAATTCATTTATCGCGAAAAAAACGATAAGCGAAAAACGCGTCGATTTAGCAAATCATTGGTCGATCACTACTACACGCGTAACTTCTAATTTCCGATGACGACATAATATCGATATAGACAATAACCAAACTTCGATGTAATTTCTGAAATTGGGTCTTACGAATGCATCATCCTTCTTCAACAACACTTTTTCTGACACGGCATTTCCTTTTTTTACCGAGGATAAGACATTCATTTTCAAAATATCGATTTTCATTGGTAAATAATTATAGTAGTGGTGAAAATAGTGGTAAAATGAAAGTTGTGGTTATCGGTGGAACCGGATTTATCGGTAAGTTTCTCAAAGAAATGGATGTAAATTATAAAAATTAACACGATAAACGCGATATATATTCGATGATTCGGTTCTTTAGTAATATCGATTGATGATGTTTAGGAACAATGAAGAATGAATTTCTAAATATATGCATTTGAAGAATCACTATAATTCTGTATATATTATGTACTCAGGTAAATACGTCGCAAAGGCATTCATACGATATCCAAATGCCTCAATACAACTAGTAGCACGTAATCCAAAACTCGATCAACTTCAAAATTTAGGTAACTTATCAAATTTAGTACCCTCCGTAATTCATATATGACATCTGCAAGCGTGATCATACTAATTGGATGGATGACGGTATTCGGCTAAAAAATAAAAATATGCCGAACCTCTAATAAAAAATTGATCAAGGTAATCAGATCCTCCCACCCATAAAGACGGACATAACATCACCCTTGGAAGTCTTGGAAGCGTGTAAAGGAGCCAATGTCGTGATTAACCTTGTGGGAATCATGCACGAGAAGCCGCCAAAATATACGTTTGAGTCTGTTCAACACCAAGGTGCACGCAATGTTGCAGTTGCAGCACGAGAGAATAATGCAACGTTGGTGCATGTGAGCGCTATTGGCGCAGATCCGAATACTGACATACCGTATGCAAGGACTAAAGGTGAGTGAATTATCTTTACTAAGTCTTGGTGATTTAATTACATGTAAAGGTTATTATCTTATTCTTAGGATTGGGAGAAAGTTCCGTTCGTCAAGAGTATCCCAATTCAGTGATTATTCGCCCAAGTTTGGTATTCGGACCTGAGGACGATTTTTTCAATGTGAATAAAATGAGGATTCATTTCTGTGTTTTTCCAGTATAAATCACTAAACAATATATGGCACCACACAGCGATTTGCAAAACTCGCAAGACTTCTTCCATTTATGCCAGTATTCGGTGGCGGAACTACAAAATTCCAACCAATCCACGTTTGTGATCTAGCGGATGCAATATTTAAGACTGCGGCGGATCCTAAATATCAAGGAAAGATTATCGAAGCTGGTGGACCAACTGGTATAATTCATATATTTATATCTGAGCTTATCCATTTTATTTTATGTAAATACCAATCCAGATAGAAACCTAAATATAGTGTATAACTACCGAGAAATCATGCAACTCACGCTAGATCAAGCAGGAATCAAACGACCAATAGTATCCATGCCATGGAGCATCGGACTACTTCAAGGCTTCTTTCTCGAGAAGTTGCCACTAAATCTTTTCACCATCACGCGTGATCAAGTGAAATTACTTCAAAAAGACAATATTGTCCATGCAAATTCCGATATTTTAACGTTAAAAGATTTAGGTATCAATTCGCCTCGTGAGGCTGAAAAGGTAAATTTTTCGTAATTTGTTCTTTTTTATAAATAATGTATTTGGACAAAATATCTTACCACCATCACGTAGATCCTGCATCAGTATCTCAGAAATCATGATGCCGTGACTCCAAACAAACGTACACATCGAATGGTTGAGAAATCGATCGAGGATGAGATTGCGGAAATAGGACGAATTAGGCGAAAAACACCGAAAAAGGCGATTGAGATTGAAGCAGAGATGCTCAAGAAACAAAAAGAACACGATGCTCAAGTCAAGAAATGAATCGTAATATCTATTTGCGTCTCAGCTGGTCTGACAGTAAGTGCCTTAATTGGCATTATATTTCCACGAAACAATTATTTTATCGCGAGAAACTGAAGTGAAATAAAAATAAATATACATGTACAAAATGAATTTGTCTATATCTACATTAATAAACTCGTAAAAATTCCAGTTCTTCACATAGTCCATAAAAGCTTATCTTCATACTATGAATTAGGTATCTTGGTCGAATTTTCTGCCTCAAACTTTTCATTAGACTTTGCAAGTTGCTGACGATACGCTACGCCACCAAATGCTACTGCTACCACAGTAAAACCTTGAGCGGCTACACGCAAACGAAGCATTTGCTGAAACATTCGCGCATTTCCACGATGCATTCCTATGGTGGCCGCGACAAGAGCAAAAGTGGTAAGAAACATTCCTAAAAATAATTGAATTTTTTAGTAGTTCAAATCGGGAAAATTTACACAGAAACAGTGAAAAATAGACTGATCATGAACCGGCAGGAACTAAAGGTTGTTCTTTCATGTTTCTCTTTATTCTTTCTATCCCCGTCTCAAATATTACGTTATCTTGTTGTTCTTCTTCATCATGGCTTTGGTTGTCTTGTACTGTGGGTTTTGAAAATATGCCGAGTTTGCCTCGTTTATCTTCTATTTTTGAGTCACTTGACATTGTTAAAGCAAATTTGAGATTTTTACTATCGGTATATGAGCAAGTGAACTGACTTTAAAAATCTTTGTATTACAAATCAACTCATACAGTGATCGATCGACTCGGAGACTCGTTCATCTTGTGTATCTTACACGCATAAATGTCAAGTAATTCAACACCTTATAAACGTGCATTACTTCACGTTTCATTAGACTCATTCTCTTCATTTAATGAATATTATCAAGAAATTGTTTCGTTGGCAATTTGTCGTGTCTCGGAATCACTGACTATATATGTTTCTAGTCCTGATATTCATACATATAAAGATGTACCTTTCGTGCATTGGACGGAGGTTCATGATGTTTTGAGTTTGATTTACGTGACCGCCACTAAGGCTGCTTACGATAATTTTCGTCTATTATTGAATGTTGATGTAGTCTTCGAAGAGTGGTGTGGGTATTCGCTTGAATTAAGTGATGATGAGCAGTTTGAAGTGATATTTGGTGAACGGGAAGGTGACTGAGAATTTATGCACTCTTGAAATTTTTATATAATTAATTATCTGATTGATTCTACATATTAACTAATAAAGATAGTTCTAATCTCCGAAAGTTTAATGAAAATCGTAAGAACTCGAATCTCTTGGAATTACCGATTCAAATATTACCATCGAAGTTAAAAAAAGGTCAAAATATTAGCATTACCCATAATGATAGTAGCCCAGGCAGTTCACCCCGACCATCAATCACGAAAACAACACGATTTGATCATGTGGCGGTCGGCGGAACGTTTGATCATTTACACGCCGGCCATAAAATCCTATTACACATGAGCGCGTGGATCACCAGCAAACGATTAGTATGTGGCGTGACCGCGGAAAACATGTTGCAAAACAAAAAATACAAAGAATTTTTAGAGCCAATTGATACGCGAGTTTCTAAAGTGTTAAAATTCTTAAGGAAAATAAGAAGCGAAGAGTTTATTAAATATCAAGTTGTGCCTATTTTTGATATTTATGGTCCGACTGCTACTGATTCGGATATTGAAGCTTTAGTGGTGTCGAAGGAGACTATGGCTGGTGCTAATTCAAGTTATTATCAAATACAATTTTCTATCTTTTTGTTAATTGTTTTTTGGAAAGAGAAAGCCGAATAATATTTATTTATTTTTTTCTTGCAGTTAACGAGGAACGCAAGAAACGTTCACTTAAGCAACTTGATTTTGCTATGATCGAGGTGATTTCCTCTACAAATTCCTCATTAAATGAAGCTGAATTAAAAAGCTTGAAGCTAAGTTCAACTTCTGTTCGCGAGCATTTATATAAGACCAACACTAAGGCGTCAAATACCTTTTGACACGGATAGAGTAATATATTAACTTATTTATTTATTCGTATTATTTGATACCGAACACGTCCATTTGTTTGTTAAAAAGAAGAGACTCATATGTTATGTGATCTTATAATGTTGCATGTCAAATTTTCTGTTAACAAAAATAACACATTATTGCTATGCTACTTGTAATCCATTATACGAATAAACTTTGATAGAATTTTTATATTAGGCCATAAAGTAAATTTTTCGGTTTTCATAACACATGACTATGTAAATGACCCGGGCGTGATATCTCGCGATCCAGCAATCGAATCGGAGCGATCTAACTACCATTCGTTCTGTCTTAACTATATATATATATAGATGAATCGAATAGTTAGTAACTAGATCGATCACTGGATCGCGTCCCGAAGTACGTGATTATCGTAATAAAATATTAGACTGCGCCTCAAAATTTAAATTTCATAAACCGGTTTTGGTGAATGCAACTGTTGGAATCTGGACTTTAGGGGTGAATGCCTTGATGACCTTGATGGTGACCACGATCTTTCTCTGGCCCTTGATTTTCCTAATTATTTGTGATGATCCAACCAGGTTATGAAAACCAAAAAAATTTTAACGAGTCGCTACATTTTTACAGATCACGTGACTTATTCCGATTCCTCTTTTAATAATGCCGACCAACCGATACACATTGGATGAAAACCTAAAGAACGGAAATCACATTTAGTCACTTTTTAGCTCTCTAAGAATTTGGCCATTAAATGCTAATAATTACCTGCTCTGTTGTTACTTTACATTTTTCATCAAAGGATACCTGGTATATTCGTTACAAATCCAGGAAGAACTTGTTTGAGGATTCAAGGCATGTAATTTGATTAGCCACGAACTACTTGATAGTTTTATCGAGTTGAAATGTGGTTTTCTGTACTTAACCCGTAGATAAAAAAATGTTATATAGGTCAAAAAGAAGCAAAAATTATTTGTCAAGTTATTAACTGGTGCGAAGCTAACATAAACTTGGTTGGACACTATGGTGGTTCCCAGATATGTTATGCAAGCATCATGTTAACGTTTCCTTTTTATGTTGCTAATATTACGTCTCTTTTTATCGATTGTGGGGAGCTTATACATTGCCTAATGGTCCTTATACTTCTGTTGTTCTTAGTGCCAGGTTTCTGGAATCCGCCAGGGCGACCACCAAAAGTTCGGGCCACGTGATAATTCTTTGATGACGTCAAGATGCGAAAATTGTTAGGGTTTGGATCTGGGTCAAGGTTATTTGACAAACGAAAAATGTATTTATAGTAAAATTTCGTAAGGAACATTTTTTATTAGAACACAAAAGCTTTTGTTTATTTTTGAATTTTTGTGCTACACGTTGATCTTGTAATTAGATTCGGGTTTAAATTTGTAGATCGCGATTTTGAATGAATTTTTTATCGTTTTCTCTGTATTTATGCAAATGGGATTTGGGATAGATGGCAAAAGTGGCAACAACACTATGTATAATGGCACCGTTACAGCTATAGATAACTCTTAATATAATTACGATATCGAGAATTATCGTCATACTGATTTGAGAGTTAAATCACCATTGTTTTTGATTTATATCAAGTAAATATCTAAATGTTAATTTCCAAGTTCGCATTTTATTACTTATGTTTTCAAGGAACATGGCTGTTACGAAAAATGTTGTGGTTTCGGAAACTGGAGGTATTTTTTTTTAAATAAGCTAAAAGAATTCAACGTATTTCTTTAAATTTGACAAAAATCGATTGAAATCATTATTTATTATTTTAACATCAGACGATATTTGATACATGTACCAAATTCAAAGCACTATCCATTCAAAAAAATCATACCTCATTTAATATTGAGTAGTTGGTTATTCCATGACGATAATAATATATTCTATGAAGCAAATTAAAATAAATATGTGATGCAAGTAAACTTGCAATCTTTTTATGGTCTAAACGGTCTAATAACAGAAGCTAGCGTTAGTAAATTTGCTAAAGTCGTTGACCGGGTCGACATTATGTTATTAATTTTAATATTTTATTCAACATAATAACAGACTCTCTTTAGAAAATTTAACCTTGATTTTTTTGTTACTAAATTAATGGCCTTGAGGCTCAAATTTTCTAAAAAGAGTCTGTTATATCGACTTGTACTGTGTATAGATGACGAATATATTACTTGCAAAAAATTTTTACTTCCATACCATTGCTATGGAAATTATGATTTTAATATTTACGAAACTTTTTTTTATTATTTCCGGCAAAAATCTGGCTTATTCCAGATTAATAAAGAATGCATTTCTTATGCTTTATCACATTTATAATTCTTTCTTTCTTTGCTACAACTTTTTTGAATCGCATAACTTCTCTTGACTACATATGGAATAATAGTGGTAAAGATATTACACTACATGTCTCCCACTATGGCAAGCACCTTGGAATCTTATAATTTTTATCCCTTTGTTTATAGCGGTCTCACATTACCGTTACCATTTCTCGTTATGGCCAAGAACGAATGAACGTGTTTGAGATGTTCATGTAATGTTCGATGATAACGTACAATGCAAGATTTAACTGTATATATATATATATTACGATAACAGTTTTGAAAATGCTAATTACAGATGAATCAGGTTACTTTTCTCTAATATTTGAAAAATTGTTACAAACAAGTTTAATTAGTAGTAGACAAATCAAATTGCTTAGCTTCATTAATTAAAAAGTTGCTATAAACAAATTTAACGTACTTTAGCTACTTAACATCCCCACAGTTTTAATGGTTCGTTTTGATTTTCGCGTCGCAACATACAATGAATATGATGTCAGAAGCCGGAAAAACATAAATTCGCGCAAAAATTCGATCTCATTTCTTTTGTCGTTTTTTTTTTCGTGATATTGGTCGAAATTCATTCTATGTATATAGGGATCAGCATAGCAGACAAACTCTAAATTTGGTAATGAGTAACAGTGGCTTGACTCTATTTAATAAAAATTTTTTTATATA